AAAAGTTTGCTGCACTCTTTGATGATAATTGTTTAATTAAAAAAAAAAAAAAAAAAAAAAAAAAGATCGAATGCTGTCCCCCAGAATGTACTACCATCAAATTTAAGTCATTTAAGTAGACAGAGTATGAAGATAATTATTAATGTAGAATTGCTAAACAGCTGAGATTTTACAATCGGTTAGAATGCTACATCTTGTAAAATAAAGATCAATATGACAAAGCCAGTGAATAGAAGTAGGATATAATTATTGTTTATTTAGTGCCCTTTATGCTAGCAGCAATAAGCTTATAAGAGAGAAGAAAGATACTGTGGAAGCAAAAAAAAAAAGAGGCATTCAGAAAAGGACTAGGTACCTCCTAGGTATTTAGGTTCATTTACAGCCATTAAATGGGATGATTGAATGCAACCCATTGTCACATAAAAACCCTGGTTACATTAGGGTAAAGATCAGTTTGTATTTTGTTGTTATATTCTCTTTGAAAGCATCTGCTGCTGGTCCCAGATACAAGATACTGAGCCAGGTTGTCCTGTTCAGTTGATCCAATTTTATAAAGAGTAAGATAGATTAAGCTAGATTGCCAAGAATTTAGTCTTTCTGGTACGTCCTCTGCTACAATCTTGTATTCAGCGGTACAGCCATAATATAAATCAGTTGCACAAAATTATTTCAGTGGTAATAGAAAATACAAAAAACCTTAAAACACCCCAGTGTACTGAAATGTGGGAAGTGTAATTGGTTAGAAATTACCGTACTCATTGGTGATAACATAGGAGAGTTTGTAACTAGTAGCTAAATTTAATAAACCTTTTAAAAAAGAAAAGGTTTCTTTAAAAGTTTGTTGAGACATGTTTACTTCATTCCAAATATATTTTTTTAAGGTCATTGAAGGATGTGCCTGGTTATTTGGGACAGTCGCCTTGAAATACCTAACTTCTTTAGTGTTTGGAATAGCTGATGATGTAAGTTCTCTTATCTGAGTATCTGGTTGGTGTCTTTCAAAAATTTTTTAATTCTTAATATTTTTATTTTGGCATCTTACTGGTATACTTTCCTGGTATTCCAAGATTTGTTTTGCAGAAATGGGAAAGGGATTGCATATTTGCTTTCTCATTCATTATGTATTATCGCTTTGAGGTGTTACTACCATAGTTTGTGAAAAGACAAACGTTTTTACTATTGAATCAGTAAGTGCTCTGTGTGTTTGTTTTTAAATGTGGATTTATAGATCTTTGTTTCTTTTGGATATCTTCTACCTACATCTTTTCTTTATTTACTCAATATCTTAGTTTATTTTCCTCGGAAGCTAATGTTTAAGACAGCTTTGAAATGCTTGTTGTAACTAGGACTCCTCGCTTCACTTCAGCCCCTTAATTGTCAGATTCTACTGTTAAAAGCCTATCTGCAGATATGCATCAAGGGGCAAAAGATGGGAAGCTCATATCTTAAAATATTAGTATGCAAAACTATACTCTTGTTGAACCCAGTTGCAATGGTAACACCCTTTTTCTGCTGCTTTCTGCTTTTTATTTAACACAGTCCAATCTGTGTTACACTCAAAGATGTCATTTAATATACCAGAATAGATTTTTGGTGGTCTTATAACAATATTGTAATAATAATTGGAATAAACTTCTGTTCTAATTAAAAATATTTCTCATGTACATTTAAGCTGCTTTGTTGTGGAAAACAGGACAGTTTTTGCTTACTACAGCTTTTTTTTTCTGTATATCCTACCAGGCTCATATAGGAAATATATTAAAATCTAAATTTATTGGCTACAAGGATTTTGATACATTAATGTATACCTGTGCTGCAGAGTTTGACTTCATGGAAAAAGAGGTAATTTGATCAAAATAGATTATTATGGAAGAGGTAACTTAAACAAAACAATGTTTTGATTTTGGATCTAATAAATGCGCTTGCTTGAATGAAAAAAATGCTTACTCAGGGATAAATGAAAGGTTACAGTTTTGCGAACTTAAGATTTTATGTGGCTGTCAGTAACTGGTTTTGAGTATGTGGAAAATTTACTGAGAGCTGCAAAGGGCTTGCATGGTAGATTTAGACTACAGAAGAGCATCAGAGCTTCTTAATGTGGTGTTAGTAGACCTTTAGTTCATCAGTATCTGGATATGCATTTAAAACATTTATAGGCTACTCAACCCATAGTACTCAAATTCAGATAGGATACAATCTACTTTTAGTCTTTGGGTGGCTTGCCAAAGAACTTGGATTAATTTACTAATGATGCTAGTATTGTGACCTCTAGTGTGATTGCTGGGTGGAGTTTAAATTTGAGTTTCTTCAAGCTTGCTTTTTTCTTATTGAATCTTTAAATTTACATTTTACTGGAGGAAGAAATCTTCATATTGTTTTCTTTAAAATGAACATTGAAGTAATTACAGGTGAATGAAAAGCAATTAATGCAGTTTATTTCCATTGTAGACTCCAGTAAGATACACAAAGACTCTGCTATTACCAGTTGTTCTGGTGGTTTTGGGGGTAATCATCAAAAGGGTAAGTGATTGATTTAGTGAATCACCTTTACCTTGAATTTACTTTTTAGGTTTATTGAAGGGATCACTATTTATTTTGAGATGGGAAGAAGTTAGTGTGGTGGGTTAACCTTGGCTAGCGGCCAGGTGCCCTCCAAGCTGTGCTGTCATTCCCTGTCCTCAGCAGGACAGGGGGAAAGAAGAGCTGAAAAATCTAATGGATCAAGGTAAGGACAGGGAGATCACTCACTGATTTACTGTCCTGAGCAAAACAGACTTGAATTGGGGAAGACTAATTTAATTTATTGTCAATTAAAAATAGAGTAGGATTGTGAGAAAGAAAACCAAAACTAAAAACATCTTCCCCTTATCCCCACCCCCTTCTTTCCAGGCTCAATGGGTCCCTCCCACAGGCTGCAGTTCTTTAAGAACTGTTCCAGCATGGGTCTTTTCCATGGGGTACAGTCCTTCGGGGTCACAGAAAACCTGCTCCTGTGTGGGCTCCTCTCCACAACCTGCAGTTCCTGCCAGGAGTTTGCTCCTGTGTGGGCTCTCCATGGGTTGCAGCTTCCTTCGTGGCATGTCCACCTGCTCTGGCACAGGGTCCTCCACAGACTGCAGGTGGATATCTGCTCCACCGTAGTCCTCCATGGGCTCTAGGGGGAAAACCTACATCACCATGATCTTTTCAACAAGCTGCGGGGGAATCTCTGCTCTGGCTCCTGGAGCACCTCCTCTCCCTCTTTCACTGACCTTGGTGTCTTCAGAGTTGTTTCTGTCCCTTTTTTCTCATTGCCCTCTCTTAAAGCTGCTGCACAGTGTCTTTTACCTTTTCTTAAACATGTTATCAACAGAGGCACAACCATGCATCACTGATGCGCTCAGCTTTGGCCAGTGGTAGATCTGTTTTGGAGCTGGCTGGAATTGGCTCTGACTGACAGGGGGCAGCCCCTAGTCTCTTCTCACAAGAAGCCACCCCTGCAGCTCCCCTGCTACCAAAACCTTGCCATATAAACCCAGTACAGTTAGATAAAATACAGGTTTCAAAAAATATTTGCTTAAAATTCTGTATTCTCTTTACATTAATTTTTGCAAAGGTCCAGTCCTGAGTCAGTGGTAAAACTTGCTTTGATGTTAAGTGCCAAAAAAATTTCTGTCACTTAGCTGATGAGTACTATAACTGAAGTTTATAACTGTTTTTGTAAATTTGATTATGTATAATTTGTGTAAAAACAACTTAGAGTTTACACAGGAACAGATGGGATAACTGCTAACTGCCTGGCTAATTAAACATCCTCAAAAAGAATTTTTAGCTAAAACATTGCATGTCTTAATCTTAGCATTATCTCAAAATGAGATTACCCAGGTGTAATTTAATTTAGCAAATGTTGAAAATGCTTTAGAATGCTTTTGGAAGTTTATTCATACTTTTTGTTGGCTCTTGTTTTCTTCAGGCAATTAAATATCTTATGTGGGCCTTATCTCAGGCAGGCCAATATGAAAGGTAAATATTGTCGTCTTTTTTAATGTAAAACTGAATTTTCTGCTGGAAGTTTATTTGTTTTGCTATATGCTAAATAATTCAGAATTCTACATTATGTTGGTCCTTTTTGAAGGGTAAATTATGTATAGTTCAGTAACTGAATGGCTTGGATGTACTATACGTGATATTTTTATAGGATGTCTAAAACTAAGTTTAGCTGCTGAACTTAGTTTTAGACATCTTAACCCTCTCACCCCAAAATTTTCTATTTAATCGTCTGTTTTTCTGCTCTGTTCCTAAACCAATATTTATTTATGTACTTATTCGCTTTTCTCCTATAAATAGTGAATGCAAATTCTTTCTTCCCCATTAATTTTTTTCCAGGTTATAAAGATACCTGAGTTTCATCGTTAGGAAGGGATCCCAACTGTATTAATTTTATTTTCTAAATATCTGTAATACATGCTCTGCCTGTCACAGCCATTTGGCATCACTCGTTGGTGCTGTGCTCAAGAGCAGTCAATTTGTCCAATTGAATGTTGTCATTTCCCTGACATATCTTTTGGCCTGGTTTTTTTTGTTGTGTTTTTTTTTTTTTAAATTTATCGCTAATCATTTCAGTGATCTCTGCTTTCCATAGTCTAATGGCCATTATCAAAATTTCAACAGATGTGAGCAGGATGCAGCATCTTGCCTTCACAGATGTTTTTGGAGAGCAACAAGTATACGTGATTCTGACTCTTTTCATATTTGTATTGCCTTTTGAGAATCCAAAACCAATCTATGTAGCACCTGAGTAAATGACTGACTCTTTTTTTGGTACCAGTGTTCTGCCTCTCTTACATTACTGAAGTAATAGGGATTGAGGAGGATAGTTACTGATTCGCTGTATATTTCAAAGCTTGGTATAGAGGGGAAAACAATCTCTGCAGGTACTGACTCATGCTTACTGGATTAGTTGTCTAGAGCCACTGTAGATGAGTTCAAAGTAAAACCAGTGCTTCTGTAGTACCTAAACAAATAATGGGATTTTCTGTTTTTTATTTAGAGAGGAACGCTTTAACCATGGTGAGGTAAGATTCTTCTTCTATGCAATTTTATTTGTATGTTAATGTGAGTACTCAGTATTGAAATACAGGTTGCAATGGTCTGATCGTGATACATGGTTTGTTTTAAGGTGAGTATTTGCATCTTTTATTCCCTTGTCTTAAATTGGGTCTGGTACGTCACCAGAATAACTCTGGAACGTTGAACAAAAAAATATACTAGCTAATGGTGGGGTGGCAATGCAGGAGAGGATTCTTTTAGGCTTTTCCTGTAGCAGTACAGAAAGACACTGAAATTATGCTGGACCTTCCATTTTCCCCATATAGACTGAGGAGATTAGTTCCTTTACTGGGGCTTCATGTGTCAGATAATGTTAAAGTTCTGATTTGAAATACGACATAATGAAAATAATTCTACATGTAGTTCTTTTAATAAAATTATGCAAGAAATACAATTGAATGGCACCTTTGTTATGTGGTTTCTTTACTTACAATTAAGTCAACAAGGACAGTGCAAAACTTTCTTAACAGCAGTTTATTTGTGGTTTGTGCTATGAGATAAATCTCATGCCGTTCAAAATATGATAATCAATCAAGCACTGATTGCAAAAATGCCTCTATGATTTACCGCAGCACTTCCAAAAGTAGCATAGATTCAACATTAGGAGTGGTGAGTGATATCTCTGCTTTTTAACCTTTTTTGAGAATACCAAAGCAAGCTGCCTGTGGTTGTGTGAGTACCAAGGAATGATTTTATTTGCTTCTTTCCTTTCATACTTAGGTATTTTAGGTATTGAATAGTAAGGTCTCCTCACTTTTATAAAGAGGTTATACAAGAAATTTTATATATGTTCTTGCCTGTTTATGTTTCAGGATCATTTGCATAGCTAGCCATTTCTCCAGCTTCTTTTGGTTTTATTGTTAATATTTATCCTTCCTGTTGTTCCATACCTTAGCATACTAAATACACTTGAGAAAAAAGATAACAGAAAGTCCTTATCGCTGTCTGAAATGTGAAGATCTTTACTTTGACTTTAACTCTTTTTCAGACAAGCTTGTCATTTACACAGTAATGAAAATGAAGTTGTATGTTTAAGATACAAATGAAATGTATGCAAATATGCTTTTTTGTATGGTGGGTTTGTTTTGTTTTGTTTTTTTTGCAGCTGGTATACCATGCATTGCAGCTGTTGGCATACAGTGTCCTAGCAATTTTAATCATGAGACTAAAACTGTTTTTGACACCACATCTGTGTGTTATGGCTTCCTTGGTGTGTTCAAAACAGGTAAGGTCTTTTTTTAATCCTGTATCTATGTCAATACTTACAGTATTACCGAGATATTTGTACTAAAGCGAATTTCTGAGTAATTGCTGAATCTGAGTGTACTAGTTAAAAATAAACCAGATTGTATTGCCTGTCAAAAAATATGGTTACACAAGTTCCATTCTTCCCTCTCCCCAAATAAAGCAAATGTTGTTTTATGCGACTTGTCCAACTGCAGTTATATGAGTTATTGAGCTTGAGCATAGAGAGACATGCACTGGATTTTACTGTATTTACACATTTCTATGCCATTGCAAGTTTTTTATTGACTATTAATTTAATCCAAACAGTGTTTGACTTTGTTTACACTGTGTTTTCACAGCTCTTTAGAGCTTATTGCCTTGCATGTTTTTTGTATATTAATTCTTTCCAGAAGTATAGTTTTGAAGTCTTGCATGTTGAAAACATTTCAGCCTTAAAAATCAAAAGTCATACGTCTAATTCGGATTTAATTTTCCTACCTTGAAATCATCCATAACATGAAATGTTACTAGATATTCTCTAGATATAAAAGATCTTAGAATTGGCTTTTCATGTTTCAGTATCTCTGTTTTTGAGAAGTGAACTTGATTGAATCTGTATCTAAAGAGCTATTTCAGAAGCTTTGTAATTGCAGCAAAAGTAGGGTAAGCGGTCCTTTTTCTGGGAAGCAGACAGGGAGGTAGATGGAAAACTGGCTGAACGACTGGGCCTAGAGAAGGGTGATCAGTGGTGCAAAGTCTGATGGAAGGCCAGTAACTACCCCAGGGGTCAGTACTGGGTCCAGTCTTATTCAATGTCTTTGTTAATGGTCTGGATGATGGGATATAGTGTACCCTCAGCAAGTTTGCTGGTGGTACAAAACTGGGAGGAGTGGCTGGTATACCAGATGGGTGTGCTGCCATCCAGAGGGACCTCAACAGGCTGGAGAAATGGACTGACAGGAACCTCATGCAGTTCAACAACGGGAAGTGCCAAAGTCCTGCACCTGGGGAGGAACAACCCCAGGCACCAGTACATGCTGGGGGCTGACCAGCTGGAAACCTGCTTTGCAGAAAAGGACCTGGGGTTCTGGTGAACGCTAAGTTGAACATGAGCCAGCAATATACCCTTGCTGCAAAGAAGGCCAACAGTATCCTGGGCTGCATTAGGAGGAGTGTTGCCAGTGGGTTGAGTGAGGCGATTCTTCCCCTCTATTCAGCACTGGTGAGGCCACAGCTCGAGTGCTGGGTCCAGTTCTGAGCTCCCCTCTACAAGAGAGACATGGACGTACTGGAGACAGTCCAGCAAAGGGCCATGAGGGTGATTAAGGGACTGGAGCATATCTCCTGTGAGGAAAGGCTGAGAGAGCTGGGACTGTTCAGTCTGGAGAAGAGAAGGCTCAGGGGGATTTTATCAATGTGTACAAATACCTGAAGGGAGAGAGTAAAGAGGACAGAGCCAGACTCTTTTCAGTGGTGCCCAGTGACAGGACAAGAGGCAACGGGTGCACACTGAAACACAGGAGGTTCCCTTTGAACATGAGGAAACACTTTTTCACTGTGAGGGTGACCAAGTGCTGGCACAGGTTGCCCAGGAAGGTTCTGGAGTCTCCATCCTTGGAGATATTCAGAAGCTGTCTGGGCACAGTCCTGGGCAACTGGCTCTAGGTGGCCCTGCTCGAGCAGGGGGGCTGGACCAGATGACCTTCATAGGACTTTTCCAACAACAACCATGCTGTGATTTTTGTTGAAAGTGTTATTTACATCATATAAAGTAAGTACCTCACATTGAGAGAGTGAAAGATTATGATTAATAGTGAGCTGGGCTTACTAACAAGAAAACAAATTGGGAAGATGAGATGGGGAACTCGTGAAAGTGTCTATATGGAGAACATCACCATGAGGATGAGTGGGAGAAAGAATCCAGTGCTAGGAACTGTTGCGGACATAATACAGAATCATAGAATCATCAAGGTTGGAAAAGACCCTTAAGATCGAGTCCAACCGTTAACCTAACACTGCCAGGTCCATCTATACCGTGTCCTCGAGCACCACATCTATCCGTTCTTTAAATACCTCCAGGGATGGAGACTCAAC